AAATCAAACCCACTGCCCTTTGGTAGTTTCCAACCCCATAGGGAAGAGTAGAAAAGCTCTATGGGATTTCCAAAGCTGTAAATCTTTAAGGAGGCAGACTGTCACATCTTTCTCCTATGGGAGCAGGTGGTGGGTTGGAATCATCAATCTTTCAGTAACAGCTAAGCATTTAACTTGCTGCACCACCAGCAAGGTTTTTTGTTTTTTGTTTTTTTGTAATCTAAATACATCTGAGTATTATTTCTCTACCAAAAAATAAATGCTACAGGTATATGTGTATTTATTTAGAAATATATCTAATATATTATTGTTATTGTTAACTGTCATCAGGTTAGTTCCAACTCATAGCGACCCATTTCTGATCAGCTAATAGTTAATGTGTGAAACAGGTTTCTTTAATCCCAAATTTTCTGGTTAAAAAAAAAGAGCAATATACAAAACCACCTGGGACATTCAAGTACAAATTGTCCATTAGGGGAAACACAGGCATAAGCTGGTTTTCTTAAACCAATCAACAGCATTACTGGGAAGATGAGAAATTATACGATATTAGCTGTGGGTTGATATTTTTACCCCCAGCTCCTTAATGCTACACTGAAATCTCTAATCTTCTTTTCCAATTTACTTAAATATAAGTACTTGGCCTTAAGGTCAATTTGAATCACAAGGTCAGCGGTTCTAACTCACAAGTCACTCCTCGGAAACCCTATACAGGGTTGCTGAGTCAGACTCACCTAACACCTACCACCATCATTCACTGATCATGTGCAGTCCTGGTGTGGTCGGTTTGAACCAGAAGGTTAGCAGTTCAAAGTCACCAGCTACTGCTTGGAAACCCTAAACGGGGTTGCTACAAGTCAGAACCAACTTGACAGTGCTTACTAACAACAATAACAACCGTGTGCAGTGTTCGCTTTCAGTGCTTTACATACATTGTTTCCATTTTCTGCATCAACTTTGTGATGTGTATTATTATTACCTCCAAAATAGAGCCTCAAAGAACCCACCGAGATTTGCCCAAGCCCATCATAAAAGTGGAGTTCTGCTGCGGTGCTGCAGAAAAATGCACAGGACTGCAAGATTGGTTTGAACCAAAAGGTCAGCAGTTCAAACCCATCAGCCGCTCCTTGGAAACCCTACACATGGTCACTATGAGTCGGGACCAACTCGGTGGCACTTTAACAGCATACTAAAAGCAGTGATCCAATACTCTTTCTCCACTAACCAATATTAATATTGATAACCAAAGCATGCACTCACAGCACATATAATGTAGGCATTGCCCTTTTGCCTATCCCCTTTCTCCTGTTGGTGTGGTTAGGTATATCGAGTTAGTGCTGATGCACAACAACCACATACACAACAGAAAAAACCACTGCCTGCTCCTGTGCCAAACTCACAATTGTTATGTTTGAGTCCGTTGTTGCCACCACTGTGTCAATTCACTTGATTGAGGGTCTTCACCTTTTCCCTGGTTCTCCAAGTACTTAGGATTTCTAAGTACAATACCTCCTTCTGAACTTAATCCCTGCTATCCCCTGACTTCTGGCTGTTTAAGTGCCATCGAGTTGATTCCGACTCACAGCGAACCTGTGAAGCAGCTGGTTGGTTTGGACAGCCGACCTTCGGGTTCAAACTGACCTTGTGACCCAGTGCTTATCCTACAGTGCCGCACCAGTACTTCTGGCTACATGCTGTCAAAAGTCTCAAGCAGCATTAGGGACAAAACCTTTTATGCTTCCAAAAGAGCTTTCAGCATATCTCTGTCATCATACCTAGTGTATTTTTAAATTAACAGAAACTCATTTACCTGTCCTTTTAAAACAGCCAGTTTTTCCCTGAAAAAGAATTCCTCTCATACTTCCCCAGGTGGTAAGTTCCAGAAAATAATTTTAGCAGGCCAGATAATTGCAAACAAATTATTTTGAAGCACCTCTTTAAATTGTGCATTGTCAGGAATTCGATTTTCAAGTTTAATGAGTCTAATTGATTATAAGAGAGTGCTTCTTTTGAGATGATATAGTGGCTGCCAAGGCTGCTTGCAACACCTGCCAGTAGGTAGAATTTAAATGTTTAAAGCATTTGAATAGACTGTCAAAGAATGTACTTAAAGACAGGCTCCCTCCATAGCTCACAATACACAGCTGTCCCTAAGTGATAAGGGTCCAATTATACCTTTAAAAGCACCATCAATATAAGTCTTTGCCCCCATGAAAATGAGCAGCAACTTGGACAGAATTTTGTGGGCAAGTCACATTCATTTGCTTTGTGGGGACCCTCCCACAAAGAAGCAGACCCCTCATATATTGCAGACCAAGAGCGTCAGAGTCTACTCTTCCTTTTCACCTCCATTCTTCTGGTCATTTGTGCGGATAATGGTAGAACAGAAATTTTGAGATAAAATAGTCCTTGCCAGCTAAGGGTTGGTGGCTGTTGATTGATAAGAACATGCTTCTAATAAACTCACATTTTTTTTTTTTTTTTCTTGAAAGAAACTTCATAGTAATGTCTACTGCCCCGGTTCCTCCTACATAAGCTTTGATGATAGGCGTGTCTGCATACAGTGGGCACTCAATGTCACTAGGTGCTGTTGGTTCTGACTCATAACAACCCTATGCACAACAGAATGAAATACTGCCTGGTCTTACACTAGCCACACAATTGTTGTTATGTGTGAGCCAACTGTTGCTGCCAATTTTGTCAACCTTGGGAGTCTTCCACTTCTTCACTGACCGTCCACTTTACCAAGCATGGTGTCCTTTTCTAGGGACTGTCCCCTCCTAACAACATGTTCAAAGTACAAGAGTAGTCTCATTATCATCCTGGCTTCTAAGGAGCATTCTGGCTGTACTTCTTCCAACAAAGATTTGTTTGCTCTTCAGGCAGTCCGTGGTACTTCCAATATTCTTCTCCAACACCATAATTCAAGTGCATCAGTTCTTCTGTCTTCCTTAGTCATTGTCCATCTTTCACATACATATGTTGTTGGTACATGCTGTCAAGTCGGTTTCAACACATGGGTTTCTGAGAAGTAGCTGATGGGTTTGAACTGCTGACTTGTGATTAGCAGTCCAGTTTTTATCCTATAGCGCCACATCCTGCATAGGAGGCGATTGAAATGGCTTGGGTCAGATGCACCTTAGTCTTCAAAGTGACCTCTTTGACCTTTAATGATGTCTTTTGCAGCAGATTTGTCTATTGTCAGACAGATTTCTTGAGTGCTTCTCTCATGAGCATTAATTGTGGGCCCAAGCAAAATGAAGTCTTTGACAACTTCAATCTTTTCTCCATTTATTGTGCTATTTATTAGTCCAGTTGTGAAGGGTTTCATTTTCTTTACATTGAGGTGCAATCTACACCGAAGGCTACAGTCTTGGATTTTTATCAGTAAGCATTTTAAGTCCTTTTAGTTTTAGCAAGCAAGGTTGTATCATCTGCATATCACAGATTGTTAAGGAATCTTCCTCCAATCCTGATGTCACATTATTCTTCACATAATTCATCTTCTCAGACAATTTGCTCAACATACCAATTGGTTAAGTATGGTGAAAGGATACAATCTTGAAGCATGCCTAGCCTGTCTATGTCTAGGCTCTTACCGAGCACAATTAAGGTTCTGGAATACTCATTCTTTACAGTTTTATCTATAGCTTGTTATAGGTAACAGTTGAATGCCTTTGCGTGGTCAATAAAGCACAAGCAAACATTTTCCTGGCCTTCTCTGCTTCTAACTAAGATCCATCTAATGTCACAATGATATCCCTCATTCTACATCCATTTCTGAATCCAGTTCCAATTTCTGGCAGTTCCCTGTCAATGCATTGCTGCAACCTCTTTTGAATTATCTTCAACAATATTTTACTGGCATGCGATACTAATGATATTTTTCAATGATTTCTACATTCCAATGGATCACATTTGTTTGGATTGGGCACAAAAATGAAATCTCTTTTGGCCAGGTAGCTGTCTTCCCAATTTCTTGGCATAGATGAGTGAGGGCCTCTTGGTTGTTGTGGTTGTTAAATGGCTTCTTGATAGATGTTAGCAAAAATGACTGTTGTTGAAGGCTTTAAAGACTTATCCCTAACAAAGCCTTCTGGTATCATTTCCTTTCTCTGAGTGGCCAGATCTCTCCATGTCCACAACTTTCACTAGAATCAGCCCCTTCTGTGTGTATGCTGCCTGTCTCCCTCCCTATACTATAGTATCATCATGTAATACAAAGGGGCTCCAAGAAATTCATGGACAATTCCCTTATTTTTTAATTTCACTTTTCCATGAACTTTCTGAAGTTTCTTCATATGAGCTGACCATTAAGTACATGATCAATTAAACACAAATTCCTGTCTGAACAGCTTCTAAGAAAAACATGATTTCAATCTTTTAATGTTTATAGTACCAACAGTAATGATTTTTCTGGTCTGAATTTTGTTGATGCTTGCTTTAGCGAATTTCTGCTTACGTACACATTATCTCCATCTCAGAAGATTCAATCTGTACTTTGAACAATGACTTATGGGAAATTGTGACCACAAAATAATGATAAACATATAAAATACGAAGAAAGTAAAGCTCCTTAGATCCCAACACAATGGCTATTGGTTGGGCTTCACTTAAGTTAAAGAAGGAACCACTTAACTAAATGAAGGTCTCATAGTGTGCCATGTGACTCAGAATGAGAATGAAAAATATACTCTAGCTGAAACCAGGAAATAATAAACCTCATTCCCTACAGACCCTTCATACTAAGAAAAGAAGTTGAGTCACATAGCACAAAGGGTGCGGTGTCAGGATGCTGGAATTCTGCCCTGATTTTATCATGCACTGAGTGTTAGAAGTGATTAGGATTAAAAGATGCTACAGCCTAGTGTTCAGCACTTTGAATCTACATCCTGGGTAGCTGTACTTTGCTAAATCAGGAATGGTGATTCTTGTAGCTAAGAGTGGGTATTGAGTGGGTATAGACAGGTCTCCTGGGGGATTCTCCTATAGTAAGTTACCTTTGGGCACCTTGGCCCTCCATCTCTCCCGATTGATGTGCACCACTTCGGTCCAAGTGGTTTTAAAACTCTTATAGTCGACAGGGATGACAGAATTGTTGATTGGGGCACTTCCTTCTGACCCAGAGCTCTTAACACCTGACCGCTTTGCATCTGCTGAGCTGATGTTGTTCAAACTAGAGGATGAAAAACATACCAATGAGGGTTAGTGTTTGGAAATTGTATGCCAATAAGCATGCCCAACAGAAAAGTGGTTAGCACTCTTCAAGTTATTGCTGTGAAATTCTTAGGTCTTGAGGTGTGTAATTACCCTTTTCCAGATGTGGCAGGTGGGAAATTTTGTATCTTCAACATGGGAAAAAGAAAACATTTAAGCTTCATGAGCTCTGATAGTCCTCCTATTTTCCCCCTGTTGATCACTCTGCCCTCTTTCCCAATGTGATTAGAATCCCCTCACATGATGCTATATACTTTGAAAACAGTGAATTTGAACTTGGACTTCTGTTTGCTTCTACGGTCTGTGTACCTGCTTCCAAGCTACACACTTTTCCAATTGACTCAGCAAGTCGTTCTTGTTTCCCAGCTCCTTCCGTCTACAGTACTCAGGGTCCCTGCTGATTCTGGCATCCCAAGGTCATGGGAAGTTGGAGAGGAACAGCTTGGAGATTGTGAGAGATCTTGTCATGAGCTGACCTTTCTTTAAATGAACACTACTGTATGCTTGGGGGAGTAGGTGGCTCTGTACTCCCCAAACTACAAGGTTGGTGAATCAAGCCCACCAGTGGTGTCACTGGATCAAAATGAGGCTTTCTGCTCCAAAAAAAGATGTACAGCCTCAGAAATCCTATGTAGGGTTATTATGAGTCTGAACTGACTCAACGGCACTTAACATTTTATGCTTTAAACATGGATAATTTTGCAAATATTGTTGTGAAGTGCGTTGAATTGGTTCCGACTCTTAGCAACCCTGTATAGGGTGTCCAAGGAACAGCTGATGAGCTTGAACTGCAGAGCTTGTGGTTCAAATTGACCGTGCAGTCCAGCACATTAACCTGCAGCGCTTTATTAGAAAGTGTTCTCTCTCTAAGAAATGTGAAGAACCACCTACAACATACTTTCAGGTGGCTAAAGCAGTGACTAGCATGAATGTAAATCCACAGAATGACAACTAAGGCTGCCTAGATAAGCAGAGCATGTTTAAACCCAGTGCTTGAAGAGCTGTAGAGTTGGAGGTCTTGGGCAGGGGCTTCCTTCTCCTTGTCAGCAGCCTTGACTGTGTCCATCCACTGTGAGAATCCCTGGGGTCCCACTGTCCTAAACTTTCTCTTGCTTTACCTTCTTTTTAAGGAGATCGGCAGTTCAAGCTCACCAGCTGCTCCCTGGAAACCCTATACAGGGTTGCCATGGGTCGGAATCGACTCGATGGCACTACACCACCACCACCACAACAAGGAGTTCTGGTAGTGTAGTGCTTACGAGTCAGGCTTCTAACCTCAAGGTCAACAGTTTGAAACTACCAGATGTTCTATGGGAGAAAGATGAGGTTTTCGATTCCCATAAAGATTTATAGCCTCGGAAACCCTATACAGGGTCGCGATGGAAAAACCTCCCCAGCACCCTCTTTCTATTTACTCCTTCTCCTTCTCCATCCTTGTCTTCTTTCTATTTAATCTAGTTGTCTCCTTTTTTTCTTTTTTGACAAACCCCAAAGGAGCTCTGGTAGCACCGTGGTTATGAGTTGGTCTACTAACCCCACCGTCAGCAGTTTGAAACTATCAACTGTTTGCAGGAGAAAGATGAGGCTTTCTGCTCCCGTAAAGGTTTCCAGCCTCAGAAACCCTATGCAAGGTCACTATGAGTCGGAACCAACTCTGCGGCACAGAACCATCACCAGTGTCAAATCCATTGCTGTCAAGTAGACTCCATTCCTAGTGACTCCATGTTTGTCAGAGTAAAACTGTGCGCCACAGTGTTTTCAGTGGCTGTTTTATTGGGGGAGAGGGGGTAGTAGATCATGAAGGCTTTCCTCCCAGGTGGCTCTTGGTGGGCTCAAACTTACAGCCTTTTGATTAGCCGCCGAAGGCATTACCTGTTTCAAACACCCACATAGTAGTACTATTGATAAAGATCAAGTATTTCCTTTCATCTGTGTTAGGTCCTGTTAGGAATGTTTTACATGTATTTAATAATTCATTGACTCCTCCCAGCAACCTCTGAATATTACAAGTTACATTTTCTCAAATGAGGAGATCAAAGCAATGTGTCCAGTTGCTTAGTTAATGAGTGCTAAGGTCAGAAAGCTGAACCTCATCATTCTGACTCCACAGCTTGTACTCTTCATTACCAATCCCCCCTCTATAGAGTGATATTTTGACAGAAGGTGATCTAAAACTTTCATTCTTTTACTGAACCTGGAATTGAAAGTCAGTTCTAGTTCTTGTGGTGATGCTAATAAATATAACTGGCATTGGGAGCAAGGATCTAAGAGTGCCTTGGCACAGAAGGTAAGTGCATGAGGACGGATTTGCCATAAGCCAAGCAATGAAAGGATAGGGCTCCCAGTATCACGCATCTGCCCATTTCAGCCTTGGCAAGCCCATCATTCATCAGCCTGGAGAGTATTCATTAGCACAATTTCAATTCCTCTGAGAAAAGGAAGGAGACAGGCAAGTAAGTGTCTCTTATAAATAGAAGGTTGGGCAGAACATCTTCATGACATAGCACTTCTATCTGAAAAAAAGAAGAATTCTAACTTCACAGACAGACCACCCATGCCCAAGGACATTGAGTTTCCCACTGACCTTGAGCGCCTCTGCCCTGTCGCAGTAGGCTGGGCAGTGTCTTCAATGACCGGATTCACAATCTTCTCAGTCATGTCCGTAAGCACAGTAAAGGTGGGCTCCACAATGAAATCAATGAAGCCTGGAGAGAAATGACAATGCGTGAGAGGAACTGAAGTTCAGCTTGGGCTTTCCCATCTTGTCCCGTGGAAACCGATGAGTCTTTCTTTAAAAGTCACCTGAAGCATGAGGCATTTTTAAGGCAGGGCAACTATTCTGTAGGCTACTAGGATGGTCAGTATATGGCCTTATGCATTGACCAAAACCAGTAAGGCTGTATACCACAAAGAAGATCCCTAGTGTGAAAAATGGACATTAGTTATAACTATTATCAAAATTATAGCAGTTACCAGCTAAAGTCCATTGTTTTTACTAGGTTATCAGTTCTGGTGTGGCACTGTGGGATAAAGCAGTAGACTGCAAGGTCAGCTAAAACACAAGATTGGCAGTTCAAACTTACCAGCCACTCCTTGGAAACCTTATACAGGGTCACTATGAGTCAGAACCAACTCGATGGCATATTAAAAGCAATGATCAATATTGGTTCATCAACTATAACAAATGCGCCACACTAATGCAAGAGGTGGAGTCTTGGTGTGGCGCTGTGGGTTAATGTGCTGGACTGCAAAGTCATTTTGAAACACAATGTCAGTGGTTCAAGCTCACCATTCAATTCTCAGACACCATATACAGGGTCTCTATGGTCAGAACCAATTTGACAGCACTTAACAACAACAACAAAGTTGGAGCCTGGTGTGGTGTTGCAGGATAAGCACTGAACTTCAAATCACAATTGCTGTGGTGCAAACCCACCAGCTGTTTCTTAGAAACCCTATACAGGGTGGCTAGAAGTCTGAACGGATTCCATGGCATTTAACTACAACAACAGTAGCAACAGAAACAATGCGAGCTGTTAATCATAGGAGACACTGTGCTGGGGAGGATGGGAATTATATGAGCTTTCCCTATACTCGCAACTCACATCTTCTATAAACTTAAAACTGCTTTAAAAAATAAAGTCTACATAAGGAGCTTGAGATGAAACCAGGAGAGAATGGGTCTTCTTTAACATATTGCTTTTGGATATCATGAGTTACTTCTATTTTCCAGTATAATTTTCCTTTTACTTTTCAATAAAGAGTTAAAGTGCTTTAAGAATACATAGTCAACACCCACTGTGTAAAAATTAATGTGACAGGGTTGCAAACCAATTCAGTCATGACCAATGAAATGAAACCAGAAGTGATCTGTTTTTAAATTTTGGTGAATAGCATAATAACCAGAATGGAAAAAATTAAGGGTCACAGCCCTGGTATGGGAGTCCTAGTGTGGTGTTGCAGGATAATGTGCTGGACTGCAAGGTCCATTTCAACTGCAAGGTTGGCGGTTCAAACACAGCAGTTGCTCCTTGGAAATCCTTTACAGGGTCACTATGGATCGGAACCAACTCGAAGGCACTTAACAACAACACAACAACAACAAGCCTTGGAATGGGAGACTCGGAAGAGGCATAGTGAGTCCTTTCAGTCCTAATTGGATTATCGGTGAAGCTATGGCAAGTGATGCACATTCAAAATGGCATGCTCAGCGGCCGTATTGGAGCCACGTGCTGCTGTTTCCAACCCTGCTGGCCAGCAAGAGAGTTGTTGCTAAGCAATGCATATGTAGCCCAAAGAGGGAAATTACGTTTGAGTAGGGTTGTGATCCATGATTTTTCCTGTTCTAGTTATTGCTCTGTCATTAAGTGCTGTCGAGTCAGTTCCAATCCATAGTGACCCTGTATAGAGTTTCCGAGGAGCATCTGGTGAGCTTGTACCGTGGACCCTGCAGTTCAAACGTCTTCGCAGTGTGATACATTAACCCACAGCACCACACCAGGACTCCAGATATTGCTCTAGTTCACCCAATTTTTTAAAATTTGGGTCTGTTCTGGTGTCATTTCCTCAGCTATGGTTGAATGGAATCCAAGTTCTGCACAGTGATAGGAGCTATGCAGGTGTCTTCACCTTAGCTTTGCATTCAAAGCCTTGTTATCTCACAGGGCACCTCACTTTTCCGGACCCTTCATCACGTCTCTCTTATCCTTCAACTGCTTTCCATGCTTCTAACCTGACTCAAAGTCCTACCATTAATGTTACATACTACTGGCAAAGGCAGTTTTATAAAACAGGAAATGTTTCTGTCAAGGACTAGATAGTATATCTTTTAAGCTTTGTGGACCACCATATGGTTTTTTTCATAACGACTTAATTCTGTTATAGCATGAAAGAAGCTGTAGACAACATGAAAATACATGAGCCTTGCTGCGCTTCAATAAAACTTTATTTATAAGAACAAGCAGTAGACCGGAATTGGCCCACAGATAATAGTTTTATCAGTTTTCAGTCTTATCTAAAATCCTATAGCTATGACATGTACAAGTGCGCGTCATTTCAATAGTCTAGACAACCTGAAGTTGATTTTCTCTCCAGTCACACTCCTTGCTCTTTGATCTTCTCACCCACTGCTCTTGCAGTACAAAACTATAGCTCACTGACCATGTTGCTTGTTGCTGTTAAGTGCCACTGAGTCGGTCCCGACCCATAGCGACCCAGTACAGGGTTTCCGAGGCTGTAAATCTTTATGGGAGCAGAAAGCCTCATCTTTCTCCCACAGAGCTGCTGATAGTTTCAAACTGCTGACTGTGAGGTTCGCAGCCCGGTTCATAACCACTACGCTGCTTGGTGTTAAATGCTGTTGAGTCGATGCCAACTCATAGTGATCCTGTATAGGGTTTCTAAGACTTTGTAAATCTTTGTGAGAGAAGAAAGTTATATTTGGCTGTTTTTAATTTCCCCACTTTGAATATGTTACTTCTCCTGCTTGAAAGGTCTTTCCAACTATCCCTAATACATACCACCATTTGCCTACACAATGTTAATTCCCTCCTTAGAACTCAACTCAAACATTACCCTTCAACAAGTTTTTTTCTGAATGACCTGAGTTCAATAGACCACACACTCTGTTTTGTCCCCCATTGTACCAAGTACAAAACTCTACTATAGCACTGAAGCAGTCTAATACATTTTGTTTGCATAATACTTTGCCCACCACCCAGTACTGGCTGAAAGGCCTTTAAAGCAGGTAGTATGTCTAATTTGTCTTTGTTTATTTATATTGTTTTTGTTAAGTTCTGTTGAGTCCATTTGGACCCATAGTGACCCTGTATAGGACTTCCAAGAAGTGGCTGGTGAGCTTGAACGACCAACCTTGTGGTTCAAACTGACTTTGCAGTCCAGTGCATTAGCCCATAGCACCATACCAGGACTCCTATGTTGTTTGTATAACATCTATTATATAGCATTTAACATGGCACTGTGGGTTAATGAGCTGGACTGCAAGGTGGGTTTGAGCTGCAAGGTTGGTGGTTCAAACTCTCCAGCCAGCTGATCCTCAGAAACAATGAGATGAAACCAACTCAATGCCACTTAACAACAACAACAACACCCCACAGAGCCTTAATATATTATTATGAACAAACAAGTAACACATTCTAATGAGTATAAAAATCAATAAATCATTGTAGGTTTATTTTGGAATGATTTTCGAGTTTTTAAGGCACAGATTATGGATGACAATTTCTGCATGGCGCAGATATCCCCTCCCATACATAAGGAGTTCTGGTAGCATAGTGGTTACGAATCGGGCTGCTATTCTCAGGGTCAGCAGTTCGAAACTACCAGCTGTTCTGTGGGAGAAAGATGAGGCGTTCTGCTCCCGTAAAGATTTACAGCCTCGGAAACCCTGTGCAGGATCGCTATGAGTCGGAACCGACTCCACGGCACTTAACAACAACAACAACAACCTAATACATATTGGTTATTGGCAGTGCAAAAGTTATCTTTTCTAAACAGAACAATAAAAAGTTGAAAGTAAGAAAGAGAATAAGGAAAGGGAGAAAGAGAGAGAGAAAGAATACTTTCAGAGGAACCATTCCTGGAAGTAAGAGTCCTCCAGAATGTGGGACAGGTTTGGAAACAGGACTCCAAGAAGCATACATGAGAAGAAATGTTCTGTTGACTTCGGTATTGAATGTGGAATGGAAAAGTTGAAGTAGAATGGATTTCCTGCCAATGACACTTGTCACCTTGCAAACTTGAAGTCCCTTTTTCTTTTGGTAGGGGCTGAGGGAGACACTAGAGTGTCAATATCTAATCTTGCCATGAACTAGCTACATTCAGGAGAGTGGCTTCATCAATCCAACCAGCGAAAGCCATGAGCACAGCATGGTGGAATGGAGTCAGGTTTTGAGCCAAGGAATCACTGGGGACAGCTGAACTTACTTCTACAGAATTCTCCCTCTGTTTGATTTTTCTATCCATCTAAAGGGCTGGCAAACACGTACCTACTTGTGACTGAGCGACCATAGTTGACTTTCGATCACACAGAGGAGAAAAAGGAAGCCCCAACTCTGCTTCTCTGTCACCCTGGAAAAACAAGAGGTCATAGTAAATTAGGAACAGTAGGCAGAACCACCCAAATTTTATTTAGGAACTTCAGCTGCCATGTGGCCCACTGGTCTTCAATTTAATTATTTAAATTACATTTCATAATAACTCCTTATGGATACCACACATCAGTGTGAAATACACCAGGAGGCTGAATTCTCTCTGGAGTCCAATCATTCCACCCAATTGCAAAGGCACAGGCTGTTGTAAAGAAAGCCTCATTGGGTAGCAATAGGTCCCCCATGAAAACTAAGAGAAGCAACATGTCTTGTGGTCTAGAGCCAAAATGGGAGTCAGAATTCCTGTGTTTTCTCAAGCTGTCTCCATCAACCTGTGACCCTTGCTAAAGCCAGGTAACTCATTCCAGCTGTGAACAGTGTCTAAGACACAAATTCAAATTGGACTGGTTCAGGTTTGTTCTCCCAGCGCTACCTAGAACTTCACAGAACTGGAGCAAATATTTCTGGGTTCTTAACCATGGGGTTCTTAACCAATCATAATCAAAAATGGATTGAGCAAAACCAGAGCAAATAATCACCTGTGCTTGTCAAGCTAAACAATAAAAAATCATTCTCTATCCAGCATACATTAAAGAAAAACACCTCATCAAAAAGCATCCTTATAATAAGCTAATGCTATGGAAAGTCTAAATAATGAAACTATTGCTATCAAAAGGAGCTATGGTAACATAGTGGTTATGAGTCGGGCTGCTAATCCCAAGGTCAACAGTTTGAAACTAACAGTAGTTCCAAGGAAGAAAGATGAGGCTTTCATCTCCTGTAAAGATTACAGCCTCAGAAAGCCTATACAGGGTCACTTTGAGTTGGAACTGACTCCACAGCACATAACCACCACCATTACCATTGCTGCTGTGTGTCATCAAGTCAGCACCACATGGGACAGAGTAGATCCTCCCATTGGGGTTTCTAGGCTGTAGTATTTATGGGACCACATTGTCAGGTGTTTTTTTTCCCAGAGCTGCTGCATGGGCTCAATATGATTTTTAATTTTAATAAGAGTCAGAAACTCAGTATCACACACAGAAAGGGGGGAAATGTCACCCTGACAGCAATAAAGTTGTACTGACCAATTTTGATTAGAAAGAACTAGCTTTTCTCCTTTCTAGGTGTGTGATCACTGGAAGGTAATTTTCCATCTCTATGACTTTTTAAATGGGGGATAATAACCCCTACCCTCATAGGAGTATGTTGTTGCTATTAAGTGCCATCGGGTCGATTGTGACCCATAGCGACCCTATATAGAGTATCCAAGGAGCAGCTGGTGAGCTTGAACCACTGACCTTGCAGTTCAAATGACTTTGCAGTCTGATGCATTAGCCCACAGTGCCACACAGGACCTCCATATGGTTATACCGAGGAGTAAATAGGAAAATGTAATTAAAGTGTATAGAGTGTTCCAAAACAAAAGTAACTATTACTGCTTCCCAATTGTTGTTGTTTGTTAGTGCTGTTGAGTCAGTTCTGACCCAAAGCGACCCTATACAGGGTTTCCAAGGAGCCACGAGTGAGCTTGAACAGCCAACCTTGCAGTTCAAGGCGACCTGCCGTCCAGCACGTTAGCCCACAGCATCACACCAGGACTCCAATAATTACCACTAATATTAAATGTAGATCACAAAACAGACCAGACTTACTGGTCTCATAGAGACTGGTGGAGCCCCTGAGACTATGATCCTTTGATACCCTTCAAGTCTGGAATTGAACCTAAACCTCAGGGATCAACTTTCTGTCAAACAATGGTGGCGCTAGTGGTGTGCCACTGAGTCGGTTCCAAGGTTCCAACTCATAGCGACCCCGTATAGGGTTTCTGAGACAGTAAATCTTTCCGGGAGCAGAAAGCCTCATCTTTCTCCCTCAGAGCAGCTGGTAGCCAAACAACAGACAGGCCTCTAAAGTGACCAATAACACCCTAGAGGGACATGTCTTCAGAACAATCAACCACTGAACACCAAATGGATGATACTTTCCCAAAAACAAAATTCAGGAGGCAAGAAGGGGTAGAAAAAAAGGACACTGAAAAAGAGGAACCCAGGGAGGAAGTGGAAAGAGTGTTGTTACAATGAGGGGATTGGGTTTGCAACCATTGACACAAAACAAAACGTGTATGACTTTTTGAATAAAAAACTTTCACCCAAGCTACATTAACAAGTTCAAAAATAAGAGTTAAACATAGAATTATACTTATTCCACTCCTAAGTATATACCCTTTAGAACTGAAAGCAGAACACTTTGCACCAATGTTCACCGCAACATGATTCGCAGTAACCAAAAGACAGAAATGGCCTAGATGTCCATCAAG